ATAAACCCTGGAATTCCCGGAACTAAACCACATAAATAAATCTGCAAAATCCCGGAATTCCCACAAATAAATCCCAGGAATAAATCCCATAAATCCCGGAATTCCCATAAATAAATCTCAGGAATAAATCTCAGAGATCTCGGAATTCCCACAAATAAATCCCAGGAATAAATCTCGGAATTCCCATAAATAAATCCCGGGAATAAATCCCGTAAATCCCAGAATTCCCATAAATAAATCCCAGGAATAAATCCCGGAATTGCCAGCAGTAAACCCCATAAATTCCAGGAATAAATCCCAAAAATCATGGAATTCCCACAAATAAATCCCAGGAATAAATCCCATAAATCCCGGAATTCCCAGGAATAAACCCCAGGAATCCCAGAATCCCCATAAATAAATCCCAGGAATAAATCCCATAAATCCCAGAATTCCCATAAATAAATCCCAGGAATAAATCCCATAAATCCCAGAATTCCCACAAATTAATCCCAGGAATAAATCCCGTAAATCCCAGAATTCCCATAAATAAATCCCAGAATCCCCATAAACAAATCCCAGGAATAAATCCCAGGAATAAATCCCGGAATTCCCATAAATAAATCCCGTAGACCCCGGAATTCCCACAAATAAATCCCAGGAATAAATGCCGGGATTGCCATGAATTAAACCCCAGGAATAAACCCCGGAATTCCGGGAATTCCCTGCCGTACTTGTAGACCATTCCGTGGCAGACGATGACGGAGCCGTCGTCGGAGGCGGAAGCGAAGAGCGGATACCGGCCGTGGAACGCCACCGAGCGCAGCGCGCGGCTGTGGTGCCTGGAAAAACGGGAAAACAGCCGGAAAAACGGGATCAGGGAGCGGGAAAATGGGGAAAGGGACCGGAAAAACGGGATCAGGGAGCGGGAAAATGGGGAAAGGGAGCGGGAAAATGGGGAAACAGCTGGAAAAACGGGATCAGGGAGCGGGAAAACGGGGAAACAGCCGGAAAAACGGGATCAGGGAGTGGGAAAATGGGGAAACAGCTGGAAAAACGGGATCAGGGAGCGGGAAAATGGGGAAAGGGAGCGGGAAAATGGGGAAACAGCCGGAAAAACGGGATCAGGGAGCGGGAAAACGGGGAAACAGCCGGAAAAACGGGATCAGGGAGCGGGAAAATGGGGAAAGGGAGCGGGAAAA